GAGACCACTGAAGGAAGGAGGAAAAATCCTCCCCCTGAGTGCTTGGTGGGGATGGGGGGGAGAAGCTGGAGCAAGCAGATCTGCTCCTTCCCTTCTGGCACAGACTGGCATTGCCCCTGCTCATCCGCCCTGCGAGTCCTGTCTCTGTGTTTGGTGTCATTTGGGTCCTGTCTCCATGTGCGCACCAGCGGGGTCCTGTCCTCCTGTGGGTTCCAATGGGAGGCAAGGAAGAGCTTCTGCCTAAGAGCTCATCTCAGTCTCCCCTCTGGCAGGTTAAAGCCATTCCCCTTGGCCTGTCCCTACAGGCCCTTGTCCCAAGCCCCTCTCCAGGTTTCCTGCAGCCCCTTTAGGCACTGGAGCTGCTCTAAGGTCTCCCCTTCAGGAGCCTTCTCTTCTCCAGGCTGACCCAGCCCAGCTCTGTCAGCCTGGCTCCAGAGCAGAGCTGCTCCAGCCCCTGCAGCATTTCCATTTCCTCCTCTGGACCTGCTCAAGCAGCTCCACGTCCCTCTTGCGCTGTTGCCCTAGAGCTGGACACAAGACTGCAGGTACCAGAGATACCTCATGTTGGTGCAAGAAGGTCTTGCACATCTCCGCAGCATGGGCTAGGCTGGGATGTGTGTTCCCTGGCGCTGCAAAAGCCAACCCTCCATCCATAGCTACCGGAGAGGTAAAAGTAGGGTTGCAATGGTGCTGCTGCAGGCAGGAAGGCAGAGGTCACTTTTGCAAGCCAGACCCTCAAATGGGCCCAATCCAGCTACTTGTGAGAGACTTTTCAGCTGAATCAGCTGTTTTTCAACAGGGATGGATGATTTCATAAGCCAGACTCCTGCCTGCCTCCACCTCCTCCACTGCCTGGATTTGGGCACCTCATCCCAAACCCGTGATGGAGCCCCTAATCCTTCCTCCTGCCAGGATGGGAGGCTGGACCCAGCAACTGAAGCAGCACTGGGAGAAGTCCCTGCTCTCGAGCAGCAGCGTGAAACCGGCCTCATTTCCTGCTCATAGTCACAAAGATTATGCAAAGCCTTTGAATGCAGGACTTTCCGTGCTCTTTGGCGGCGCCCGGCCCCCTATGGCCCTGTTTTGGGGAGGCTGGCGCTTGTTTGCCACCCTGATTAGTCAGCAGTGCTAATTATAGCTCCGCTTTACCGTCTTACAGCCCTCCAAGCCCCGCTGGAGTAACAGGGAACAACAGAGGTGCTGAAATGAGGCTGTGTCCGCTCGCTGCGGAGAAGGTGCTGGTACAAATACAGGGACGAGCTTCCAGCGGTGCGGCTTTGCACGCTCATCCCGGGGGTCTCATGCAATGAGCTCAGGCTTTGCTCTGGCAGGCGAGAGAGCTGGGGCGGGGGGAAGCTCATGATGCAGGGAGGGAATGATGTTTCCCCCAGGAGAAGAAATAAAGCCGATTTTAATGCTTTTGGAGGAACAAAAATGACGGCGAACTGCATCACATCTGTTCCACTGGATGTGTCCCAGGTGGGGTTCTATTACAGCCCATGATGGAGAGCAGAGGATGCCCCAATGAGCTCCCTGCATGTCCACGGAGCCAGGCCAGTGCCTGTGGAGCCCCACTGCATTAACAGCAGTCAGCAATGGTGCAGGGCTCCCTGCATAGCCCAGGGGAACTAAACCCTTTGTCCCTCGGCTTGGTTGCCTGTGGTTTTCAGGGCATTTTGATGGCTGCAAACCAACGCACAGCGGTGAAAATGCTGCCAGTCCATTATCTTTTGCAGGGTGTTGGCATCATGGTTATTCCTCTTGGTGAGCTCTGTACCGCCCAGAACAGCAGCCCCAGCACAAACTTTGATTACAGATGTGCTCTGCCTTGGATGAGCAGGTGATTGATCAGTGATTTGCCACCCCATACCCACCCAGGCATTCATTAGCTCCTCATAGGGCCACCCAATCACCATGAAGGTATGGCTATGGGAATAGCTGCAGTGAAGCAAATTGGGAACATGGATTCACCATCCCAAGTTCATCTCCTGCCTGCCAAGCAGCCACGTTACCAGTCATTTCATTTTTAACCAAAAAAGCACAATTTCCAAGGCAGGATGAGGCCCAGGTCATGTCCTGCTGTGGGTTGGCAGCACCCTGTGGTGTTTAGTATTGAAGCTTCCTCCTAAGGGCCAAAAGCCAAGGAGGAAGATGAGAAATGAATGCGGGAAATGGAAGGGAAAGCCTTGTCCTTGCTGAACAGCATTCCCAGGCGAGGCTGGAGGCCTCACAGTGTACTCACAGCACCAAGGTTTTGCTGGTGTCTTTGATCAGTTTGATTTTTACTGCTTGCTGTGGAGTCTAAGTTGCATATATAGACAAAGTGTACTTCATATACGGTCAAAAGGTCCTTGCTGATACTCAGGGAGCTCAGAGCATTACATGCAACTATAAAAATCAGATGCTCAGACATTACAAATCATAGAATCATGGAATGGGTTGAAGGGACCTTAAAGCTCATCCAGTTCCAACCCCCTGCCATGAGCAGGGACACCTTCCACTAGAGGAGGTTGCTCCAAGCCCCGTCCAACCTGGCCTTGAACACTGCCAGGGATGGGGCATCCAAATACAATGCGCAGCATTGCATCCTCACAGGGGTAACAGCACTTGCAGCCGGGGCAGCTCTGGGGTGGCCTTGGTTTTAAAATGGCCAGATAATGTCACTGCTGTTACCACGACACTCCTGGGGTGTCCCAGCGGCCCCAGCTGCCCCAACACACACAATTTCCCCTTCCAGCCCCCTGTGAGCTGCTGAATCCTGACAGACCCACTGCTGAGCTCTGTGCCCAGCATGGGTACCAGCACCACTGAGAGGGTCCAGGGCATTCCCAGCTAACAGGGAAATACTCTGGTCCACAGCTGTGTGGCCAGCACATGGGATGGTTTGTGACCTCCTTGATATGGGACCAAAAGGAGAGGAGGATGGGGATGTGTTGGCAGAGCCTTGAGACCTCTTTCAGCCTGTTTTGTCACCTGGATGCAGACTCCAGCAGCCCGGTTGTGGCATGGGGCAGAGAAAGAGGCTATCGGGGCCACCATGAAGTCTGGGATCAGACAGAGACTTGGGTGTTTGAGAGGAGAAGGGTTGGATGCCAGAGAGAGTGGGATGTCCAAGCAACCACCAGTGAGACCATGGGGTTTGGTGTCGGCTGAGACCCATTGGGGTGTATGTGTGTCTGTGCAAGAGGCAGCTCCAGATGAGAGGATCCAAGGGCCAACTTGCGTCTGTGTGTCTGAGGGCAATACTGGAGGGATGCACAGTGCGTCTGCACATGTTGAACCTCGGGGTCTGGAGCTGCAGCAGCCTCTTCTCTGACAGGTAGGGGATTCGGCAGCCCCCAGCAGATCCGGTGGGGACAGCAGGGACAGCCCAGCTCAGACCTGGGCTCTTCATGGTCCAGCAGCCTGGCTGGGCTGAGGCTGCCCACACCCATCTCAGCCTGGGGTCCCTGGGTGAGCCGGGTCCCTGCAGAGCATCCCTCATGGGCTGCAGCCCCCTCCTGGCAGGAGCAGCTGCGGATGGGAGTCAATCAGGGCTCCGCACCCGCCTCGCCTCTCCCGGGCAGTGCGTAATTACCGGGAGCGGGAGAGGATTCATTCAGCTCCTCGCTCGCGTTTCCTCCGCCCCTTTCCGTGCTGCTCATGTCACACAACGGCGCGCAGTCACGCGGCTGCCATCCCCAGGTAGGTGACGATCTAAGTCCCCTGGAATGGGGCTTGGCCTGATTCAGAACCCAGATGCTCCTCACTGGGGTGATGGGGTTCAGCCAAAACCACTGATGCTCACCCGAGTATCTTTGCCCATCAGGAGGTGGGGATCCTTCCCGGTGTGGAGCTTGCTGCGCTGCATAGCTACAGCCTGGAAGAGAGAGGAGGATGAAAGAGTGAAGCTGGAGTGTTACGAAACCAGCGGGAAAGGGGGGAGAAGGTGTAGCTAAAATATTGCGGAGCCGGGAGCTGAGCATCCTGCTTTGAAGATGCTGCTCCTGAGCTGAATCACGGAGCTGTGTGTGGCTGCAGAAATAATCGCGTCTTTGGGACTTGTTCCTTTCCAGGTTGATCCTTTCCTAAACAGTCAGGAAGGAAGCCCTGGGGATGGGTGGGTGCTGCAGTGTGGTGTGGGGGACAGACCCCTGCACCCAAAGTCTTTGGCCAGGTCTCCCATGCAGGAGGGTGGGTGCCGGGCTGGGCATCCCATGCAAAGCTCCTGGGTGTTGATCCTCCCCGTCCCGGCTTTTACACTGGCTGCCCGGAAGCCCGTGTGGGATGAAGGCTTTGAGATGTGACATCTGCCCCAGCCTGGCTGCACAGAGCCCCCCTCAGCACCCCGGCTGCCCGCCCCGGGGGTGCGGTGGGGTTGGTGCTGCTGTCGCTGGGCATTGCCCTTGAACGGCACAGCGGATCACCCCCTCCCGCCACATCCCCGCCTCCCTTGGCACAGGAGGTAAAAATAAACCTTGCGAGCGGCGGGGCCTGGCTTGCGCCCAGACTGCATCCGCAGAACGCAGGTGGCAGGGCCCGACCTTGGGGAGGTGCGTCGGGAATGCTCATGAATGAACGGCGGGGCGGGAGCGTGCGGGGCGCGGGAGCGTGCGGGTACGCGCAGCCCCTCGTGCCTGCGGGTGTGGACGGGATGTGGAGCAGGGAGTCAGCCTCGTTGTTATTCTGATCACAGCGGCTCTGATTCACAGACTTGGATCATGAATATAAGTGAAGACTTTGACGTCAGAGTTGAGATTTATCAGCAGATCCAATGGGGCAGGAATATTAAGTGCAAGTCGATGCCAGCTATCTGCCAACGTTATTAGCAATGCTCGCCGAGGAATGAGGCTTAACACCAAGAGCTGGAAGGACTGGGAAGGGAAAAAATAAAGACGGGGGGAGACAAGCTGATCCTCGAGCATTAAAGCCAGGTAAAACAACAGCCGGGCGGTCGCGGCTGAGGGAGGGAAGGAGGGGGGATGCTGGAGGGAGTGGGTTGTTGGCAGAGTCCCCCCGACCTTCACACCTTCACACCAGACCCGGGGGGGGATTTACGCTGCCAGGGGACCGCGCCGGGGCAGGGCAGGATCTTGCAGCTCTTTGCAGCCGGCAGGGAGCATCTTGCACCGGCTTTTTCCATAGGATGGGAAAGGAGGGAGGAAGGAGAAAGTTAATGCAGGCTGTTCCTTGCCGCTGCCCTCCCGCTTCATCAGCGGCGCCGCATACATGCGAGGGCTGGCCTATTAATAGCGTTTATTTTTACTCGCTGCACGCAAAAAAGAAAGGGCTGAAGGAAGGGGGGGGGTGCGCTATAAATAGGCGGCAAAAGGTAGTCGTGTCCCGGGGAAGGGGGGAGGACGGGGCCGCCGGTACTGTGCTTCCCCCGGCGGCGGGGTGCGCAGCGCCTGCGGATGCTGCGCGGGCTGAGCGCATGGAGGGTGCTGCCTGCAGCGGGGCGCTGAGTTGCGCTCGGCCTCAGCCCGTCGGGAGGAGCGAGAGACAGCGGAGCGGCTTCCCCGGGGCGAGGGGTGCGTGTGGGGCCGGGGTGGGGGTGACTTCCCTGGGGAAGCCGCAGTCGGGCTGGCGGGCGGGGATGCGCCCTGCGGCGGGCGGGGGCGCTCGGTGCGGGGCTCGGTGCCTCTCCCCGCAGATCGGAGTCCCTGTGCTTCGCCCCTCATCGCATCCCTCTCCCTCTCTCCCCAGCGATGCTGCACGGCCCCGCCGCCATGGGGGAGCCGTGGCAGCCGCAGCCGCAGCAGCAGCGGCTCCCGGGGCTCGGCAACGCCTCGGAGCCCAGCGCCTGGCCGGGGACGGCGGCACCGGGTAGCGGTGGTGGCGGTGGCGGGGCCGGTGCCGGTGCCGGGGGGACCGTCAACCCCTGGGACATCGCGCTCTGCGCCACGGGGACAGCGGTGGCGGGGGAGAACGCGCTGGTGCTGGCCGTGCTCTTCTACACGCCAAGCCTGCGGGCGCCCATGTTCCTGCTGATCGGCAGCCTGGCCCTGGCCGATCTGCTGGCCGGGCTGGGGCTTGTGGCCAACTTCGCCGTGCGGTACCTGCTGCGGCCGCCCAGCGAGGCGGCGGAGCTGGGCGCTGCGGGGCTGCTGCTCGCCGCCTTCTCCGCCTCGGTCTGCAGCCTGCTGGCCATCACCGTGGACCGCTACCTGTCGCTGTACAACGCGCTCACCTACCACAGCGAGCGCACGCTGGGCTTCACCTGCGCCATGGTGCTGCTGATGTGGCTGCTGTGCCTCGGCGTAGGGCTGCTGCCCCTTCTGGGCTGGAACTGCCTGCGGGACCAGAGCGCCTGCAGCATCCTGCGGCCCGTCACCAAGGACAACGCGGCGGTGCTGGCCGTCACCTTCCTACTCCTCTTCGCCCTCATGATGCAGCTCTACCTGCAGATCTGCAAGATCGCCTTCCGGCACGCCCAGCAGATCGCCGTGCAGCACCAGTTCATCGCCACGGCGCAGGCCACCTCCACCCGCAAAGGGCTCTCCACCCTCTCGCTCATCCTCGGCACCTTCGCCCTGTGCTGGATCCCCTTCGCCATCTACTCCCTGGTGGCCGATTCCAGCTACCCCGTGGTCTACACCTACTCGCTGGCGCTGCCCGCCACCTGCAACTCCCTCATCAACCCCATCATCTACGCTTTCAGAAACCCAGACATCCAGAAGTCGCTGTGGCTGGCCTGCTGCGGGTGCATCCCCTCCACGTTCTCCTCCAGACCAAGGACATCCAGCGATGTGTGAGGACTGAGCACGGAGCGAGAGGCGCGCCCTTGCTCTCCTCCTCCTCCTCTTTTTCCCCTCTGTCGTTATTGTTTCCTACCGGGAGGAACCCCCCGGGCAGCACATCTCGTTCCATGAAAAGATGGCCAAAAAGAGAGGGGAAAAAAAAAAAAGAGAAAAGGGAAGAAGAAGGGGGAAAGAAAGAGAGAGTAGAATGATAATGGTTTCCTTTAGAAATGTTATTTTCTTACACATTTTATTTTTTATTTAAAAACTCAAAACACCAAAAAAAAAAAAAAAGGAAAAGAAAAAAAAACAACAAACAAAAAAGAGGATCCTCGTTCGATGGCGTTTGTCTGCTCTCGGGGTAAGGAGCCAGGGGTTCTCACCCCCCCCGAGCCCCCTCCGGCACCACATCCCACAAGTGGCAGCCGCCGGGAGGGCGACAGGAGCGGGTTAAGGGTCCGGGTGTCGTGTGTGTGTGCGTGTGTGTGTGTGTGTGTGTGTGTGTGTGTTTGTGTCCCCGGCGGGGCTGGTCCTCACGCGTGGGGTTGTCGTGCGGGGCGTCCATCCCCCTAAAATCAGGGCTTGCGATGCTATGCAATAACGGGGGGCGGCGTTCAGCACCGCGGACAGCTCCGGCTCGGGGGCCCAGCGTGGCTTTAGGGATGCGGAGGGGATGAAGGGGACCGGGGGGGGACGACACACTCTTTACATGTCGTTTGTGAAGCACTTTGAGAACTTGTGGGGCGAAAGGCACTTTAGGGGACGGACGCTGTTTTGGGCTGTCGCAGGGATGGGGGTACCCGGGGAATCCATTCCCCTGCGGCCCCCCCCCCCCCAACCGAAAAAGGGGAGAAAAAGGTGTGCAGGTGGGGGGGCAACCGGAGTGCTGCTGTGTGCTCTGGGGGGGCCGGGAAGGGTTCTTCGCCCTCCCGGCTTGGGGCCGTGGGGTGATGCGCTCCCCCGGCTGCGCTCGCTTTCACACGGATCATTTGCAGGGGGCGGATTTTCTTCCAAGGATGGGTCCGGGCTTGCTGGGGTCCCCTAGAGGGAAGCCTCTGTAATCACACGTGTTATTCCGGATGCTACCAGTTTAATTTGCTTCATTGGAGAAGCTAAAGCACCCTCACATTCCTCTGCTGTGTCATGTGCTTTGTGCGTTAGTGAGACCGTGATGAAGTGTCCTTTACATTGTGCTTTCTTTTGGCTGAGAAGTGGAATAGCGCGTTCACTTAAAAAGCAAGCAAGAAACCCAGCAGCCTTCAGAGAGATGGCAGGGCTTGGGGCGAAGCATCTCGGGTGGCTCAGGGTGCTCACATGATGGGTGCTGCTCTGGGGCCCAGCGCAGGAGCAGCTCAACGGTTGAGGCAGGAGTCCCCTGCCAGTGGTGTCCCAAATACATTTCTCCCCTTTAAAGATGCTGTGATCTCCAGCATTCAAAATGCCTGTTTTGAGAGTAGGAGCTGGGTTCTGCTGCACCATGGGCAACAGAGACCAAGGTTCCTATCAACACCATCTAATGGCACCACCACCAAATCACAGTGTGTACACTGGTGTGCTGTGGAAGACAGAAATGCTCCTGCTTTGTGAGGTTGTAGTGGGTCCACAGCCACCTTATGGCTGGATACACACACAACCATGTTTTCTCTCTGGGTCTGTGCAATGAATTTCTTGCTCCTCAAAGCTAAATACACATGGGGAAGCTATGGATCTCCAAAGCATGCCTGGGGCTTGGGCTTTCTGCCTACGTTGAAAAGGTGGCCAGTCTCTTTGTTTTCATTTCCCTTCTCTTTCGAATACCTTGGGCAATGGGCAGTAGGCACCACATTGAATCAGTATATGTTTTAAAGTAACCAAATATATAAGAAAGAATAATATATAGGGGAACACTTTTCTCTGCTCATTTTACTTCTCTGGTTTCTGACAGCCAAGTCCCTGCAGTTCTTCAGTGTGAAAACTCAAGGCACAGTTGGTTTAAACCATTTTTTGAGAGGTTGTGAGCATTTTTAACCATTTTTATACAACCCTATCTAGAAGACAGCATTTGTTTTCCTGGGCAGCTGGTTTTGTATCTTTAAATGAAGTGTAGTATTGACTAATCAACTCTAGAGAAACCTTGACATGTAAAAAGTTGCATTTTTCTTGGCTTTCCAGCCAATCCCCTGTTACTGAAGGTTTTGATTTTAATCATGTTCTTTTTAGAATTTAAGTGTATACTTGAAATCTGTCTCAGTTCGAGGGATCTATTGATAAACTTTGACAAAAGCATACAAGGGTCAATGGAAAATCATTTCTCTCCACAGCAGTAGGAGAAAGATTTGGGGTGTGAGGAGCTACAGCTGAGGATACAGCCACTACCAGACAGTGAAGCCAGAGAGGAGGTGGAGATGTCCTCGCTGAAATGCTTGGTACTAACCCAAACACATGTACAACAGCTTTGATACAGGCCAACTGAAACCTGGTCCTTGCACTAAGGAAACTTCTATTCTGCTGCACTAAATCCAACCCACAATCAGTATCAAGACATGACACAAGTATATTGTGTGCTCAGATTTAGTATAAAATGCCGATCTTATTTTTTTTAAGTGATGGTACAGGATCCCTTTCTTGGAGTCTGTTAAAGGTGGCCATGGAAGTGTTAAAACACTTGGTAGGCTTCAGGCAACCTCAAGAAATCTCTAAAGACCACGTTGGTAAATTGGCTTTTTGCAGTCTTTTGACTAAACAAAAAAGAAATGCATTTCCTAGGTAGTTTTCCTTTGCTGGTTTTCCTCTTCTTTTTCATCAGTGGAAGGAGGAGAAACCAAGGTGAAGTGAGGAAGAAGATGAACAGGTAGAAGTTCCCTGCCATGCATTGCGTTGTGGAAATCCCTGATCATTTTACTGCGCCTTTGCTTCGGTGTGGTTTGGTTGTTGTGGTTTGTTTCTTTTACTGGGGGAAGTTTTGTGAGGCAACATTGGAGATCAGTGAGGGTGTTGGATGTCGGAACCTACTTGAGCTGGGCATCAGGAGAGCTAACTTAAGACCTTAAAATATTTACCAAGTTAGTGATGCTGTGTGCAGGGTGGGATTGCCCTGGTGTTTGCTGTCCTTCAGTGCTGGCTTTGGGACACATTTAATACAGAATACAGGACCTGACTTTGGATGAGGTTGTGTTGCTATAAGTAAGGAGCAGCTCTCAGGAATGTAATGGTATCACATGTGGTTGGGGTACCAACAATAAGAGGAGCACTGGAAAACAGAAGTTTTCCAACGCATTGAATTCTCCTGTGGCCACTCCAGGTGGAAACTGGACCTGCTTGGAGAGGGATGGTCAGTGTTTGGTTGTGAAGACCTCCATTCCTCATGCTGCTGAATGGCTCAGATCTTGCCATTGTACCTTCAAAACTGGGCTTTGCAAATAGATTTTGATAAAAGATGAAAGGCCAGGGCTTGGCCCTGCTTCCATTCATATCACTCTGGACCCTACAGGAGCTAGTCTAGATCTAAAGCAGCAGAAACAAGCAGAACTTTGATTCTGAACAATTACATGAGGTATATAACCAGCCCTATAGCAAAGATCAGTGTGGCCAGCGAAATGAATTCACTGCTTATTTGGTTGATTTATTTGCAGGTTTCTGCTTGTCTTTGGCTTTTCTACCATGAGTTGCAAGCAGAAAATAGGTATGAAATGCTTTCTGTGTTGTTGGTGGCTGTTTTAGTCAAGAGGATGACAAAAGAGTGAGCAGGAGAAAAGAGAAAACATTCCCCAAATATACCGTGAAAAGGCCAGGGACATCATTGGATGGGATGAAAACACAGCTGTATGAATGCCCTGAGTTTCATGGAGCTATGTTAGGGGTGAGTGTGAGTTTACGCATTTACAACAAGCCCTTGTCCCTGTCTCAGTGTATTTCAACCGAGAAACGATAATTTAAAGAAGGCTGATGAAATGTATAGGCTCTGCCAACAGAGGAGCTTGGTTTGGGGGTTTTTTCCCCATTTTGTTCAGTTTGGGACTTTGAGCCATGAAAACGCCTCTTTTTAACCAGCTTCATTTCAGTAACTAGCAGTAAATAGCTCAAGGATCTCAGTCCTGATGTGGCAGCCACAATTTGTTCATCTCAAAGAGAGTTTTAATTGAACTTTGACTAAAACCCCAAGAAACCATTACTGTTCTCAGTAGGCGATCAAGTACCTCTTCCTTGTAGAAGCATCAAATTTGGGGTGGGGAGGTCTTGAAAAAGATGTTGATCTCGGTAATCACTTGCATTGATGTGTACTGACCAGCACTGATGACTCACGTAATTGTTAACAATTAATTAACAGCTCACTTGGAATTGTCAGGAGTAATTGTTCAATGCACATGGTATTTCCTTGTATCTCCTTTCATTCACATGCAACCTTTCCTCTGGGTGAGGCAGTCAAGCTGATGACTTCGCATGTACCATTTGTACCTTTTCTGTTACCAAAGCAGTTGCCTACTGCTAAATTCCCGAGAACCACCCCTCCTGCTGTCCCTGCAGCTTTCCCATTCCCATTGGAAAACTCTGCAATACAGAACATTATAGAGAAAAAATGGATTTTCAGCAAAGACCCAAATAAGAATGGGTGGTCCAAAGCTCTTTTTTGTCCCTGACTTTGAGGGATGGGAACAGATTGCGTCCAACCCCAAGGGTAATAGTTGCCTTCACAAATCCTGCTTGATGTCAAGTGGAATTGTGTCTAAAGCGAGGTTATTCCTTTACAATTCGAGCACGCTGAAGCGGGCAGGATGCTGGATGTCTGGCAGCACATTGTATCAGTAGACACTGAAATCACAAGCACAGGTTTGTGGCCTTATTGCAGGATCTGGGAGTTGGAAAACATCTGGCTTGTCCCATGAAAGACTCTTTTCCAACTAGGCAGTATCTGGCTAAGGATGAGAGGTAGTGCTGGCCACTGGTGGCAAAACAGGTGGCTCTTGTCTCTGCCTTGCCTTTCCCCTACACCACGTAGAGAGAGATGAGGACAGGGCTTGTTTCTGATGTACCTTGTGAGTAAGACAGAGTCAGGCCCCTGGCAGGAAAAACAGGATCCTTCCTAGAGAGTGAATCCTCTAGCATGGAGGGAGCTCATCCCCATTCCCAACCTGCCTCCCATCCTATCTGCTTCTGCAGGAACAAGGCCATTGCACAGCAATCAGAACAGCAACTTATTTTGATGTAAGTGTTTTTATTAACCTTGGCTGGGAAAGTTGATCTCAATGGAAAATGTACAGTTATCATTCAATTCTGGTTAAATCAAGCCCCTTCAATGCACTTTATGAACGAGTGAGAAAAAAAAAATGCTGTTATTGCACTGTATCTCTATTGTGTATAATATTATACATTCATCTGTAAGAGTAATTTATTTTTATTACTGTAAATAAAACTGTTGAAGTGATTTGTCAAGAGGATATCCAAAAATAGGGGGAGGGAGGGTTAAAATTAAAACAT